GCCCTCCGAGGCCGAAAACGGCTAACAACCTCCCGTCATCATCATCATCATCATCATCATCATCATCATCATCATCATCAGCATCATCATCACCATCATCATCGCATCATCATCAGCATCATCATCATCGTCATCATTCCCACCAACATCATCATCATCATCACCATAATCATCGCCGCCATCATCGTCAACATCACCATCATCGTCATCATCATCACCATCGTCATCATCGTCAACATCATCATCACCGACATCACCTGCATAAGCATCATCATCAGCATCATCATCACCATCATCATGAGCATAATCATAAGCATGATCATGCATCATCATCATCATCACCATCATCATCATCGACAGCATCATCATCATCGTCACCATCATCATCCTCTCATCATCAGCATCACCATCGTCAACACCACCATCACCATCGCCTACATCGCCATCAACATCATCATCATCACCACCGTCATCACCAGCATCAACAGCAGCACCACCATCATCATCGCTAACACCATCGTCATCATCGTCATCATCATCATCACCATCAGCATCATCACCACCACCACCACTATTATCACCACCATCGTCTTCATCATCACTATCACCATCACCATATTCATCATCAGCATCACCATCATCATTATCACCACCATTCGCATTATTATGACTATTCTGATTGTTATGATTTTATGATTATTATTCTCATCAACATCATTATTGTTATTGTCGTTGCTGTTACTATCGTTATTATGATTATTCTTATTCTTATTACCATAATACTAATAACTCTTTTAGTTTCCATTATTACTATTATTAATATTATTACTATTATTATTAGTATTATTATTAGTATTATTATCATTATTATTACTAGGATTACGATTATTATTAGGATTGCGATTATCATTATTATTATTATTATTAGTATTAATATTAGTAGTATTATCGTTATTATTAGTATTGTTATTATTAGTATTATTATTATTATTATGATTATTAAGATTATGATTATGATTATTATTATTATTACTACTAGTACTACTATTACTATTACTATTAATAATAGTAATAGTACCAGCCTCATCATATGCATCCTCGCCCCAGTCCCTAATCCCATCCTCACCCCTCCTCATCCCCCTTCTTCGGTCTCATCATCTTCTCTCTCCCTCCCCTCCTCCCCTCGCCCCCCCTCATCCTGTCCCCCCTCCTCCTCCTCCTCCCCCCCTTCGCTCTCTCCCTCCTCCTCCTCCTCCTGCTTTTCCCTCTCCCTCCTGCCCCTCCGCAGCACTCGTGTCTTCCTCGCCCCGCGGGCCTGGTGCGGAGGCACGGGCGCGCGGCCCCCGCGCGGCGGCCGCCATCGCCGTGCCCCCGCGCGCCCCGTCCATCTCCCCCGGGACGGGCGGGGACCGCCGCCCCAACCCCCACGAGGCCCCTGAGACGGCTGGGGCTCCGTTGTTTCGCCTACTTCTCTGCGCCTCCACCTCCGTGCCCGCCTCCGCCGCTGCCCTCGCCGCCTCCGCCCTCGCCTCGTCTCGGTCTCCTCTCCGCCTTCGCCGCCGCCGTCGCCTCCGCCTTCGCCTCGTCTCCTCCGCCTCTGAGCGCTGCGAGCAGCACGGCTCGCGGCATGGAAGGCAAGAGCGAACACTTACAACGCGTGGAAGAAGCTGGGGGCGTAACAGAGCCCGCTGGCCCGGCCTGCTCGGAGCCAGACGTCCTCCATTGTGGGCCGTCGGGCGCGCATGGAAGCCGAGGCCAACGTGCAGTCCGTGATGGGGGAAGACTAGGACTTGCACAGGTGGAGTGTGTGTGTGTGTGACGTGGCGCACCTCAGGCATGTAAGTATTGCGGGCAGGATTGCGGAGTCCTGCAGTTGCAGCATTCATTTCACGTGTCTTTGCCACGGGGAAGCCCGTTGGCCCTTCAAACTCTCTGCAAGTACTGGCCGCCAACACAGGGCCCCATTTGCAGAAATTATCAAGCACGGTTGACAGCAAAACGGGGGAAGGATGAGGGAGGACGAAAGAAACAAGTGGCACGTGTGCCATGGCTCTTGCACAGAAAAGAAAGGGGAGGAGGAGGCGGTGGAGGAGGAGGGGGGAGAAGGGGGCAAGACATCGCCCTTCGGGGCCCAGCGACGGGGCCCAAATCCCAGGTGGGGAGGGGGGGGAGGTGGTGCGCGTCGCGACGTGGAATCAAGTGCTCGGAGCGGAGGGGGCACGGGGCGGAGGTCCCTTTGGGGCGCTGCGGGCGCGGAGAGGAGGGGTGGGAGGTGGTGTGTGTCGCGACGCGGAATAAAATGGTCGGGGCGGAGGGGGCACTGGGCGGGGCTTTGGGCAGAAGGCCACGGGGCGGGGGTCCAACTGGGGCGCTGGGGACGGGGGGAGGGGGGAGGTGGCGTGCGTCGCGACGCGGAATAAAATTGTCGGGGCGGAGGGGGCACGGGGCGGAGCCCCCGCTGGGGCGCTGGGGACGCGGGGAGGGAGGTGGGGGAGGTGGTGTGCGGCGCGACGCGGAATGAAGCGTTCGTGGCGGAGAGGGCAGTGGGCGGGGCTCCCGCTGGGGCGCTGGGGACGCGGGGGGGCTCGGGGCAGAGAGCCACGGCGCGGGGGTCCCACTCTGGCGCTGGGGGCGCGGGGGGGGGGTGCGACGCGGAATAAAGCGTTCGTGGCGGAGGGGGCAGTGGGCGGGGCTCCCGCTGGGGCGCTGGGGACGCGGGGGGGGGGGGGGGGGGGGGGCTCGGGGCAGAGAGCCACGGCGCGGGGCTCCCACCCTGGCGCTGGGGGCGCGGGGGGGGGGGGGAGGCGATGCGGAATCAACTGGTCGGAAACTTTCGGAGCTCTAGACAGCTTGTGCAAGAAAACAAAACGTTCGTGGCGGAGGCTGGGGCGCTGGGGACGCGGGGGGGCTCGGGGCAGAGAACCACGGCGCGGGGGTCCCACTCTGGCGCTGGGGACGCGGGGGGGGGGGGGGGTGCGACGCGGAATAAAGCGTTCGTGGCGGAGGGGGCAGTGTAGGGTGCTGGGGCGCTGGGGACGCGGGGGGGCTCGGGGCAGCCACGGCGTCCCACTCTGTGTGGGTGGTGGGTGTGTGTGTGGTGTGTGTGTGTGTGTGTGTGTGTGTGTGTGTGTGTGTGTGTGTGTGTGTGTGTTTGCGTGCGTGCGTGTGTGTGTGTGTGTGTGTGTGTGCGTGACGCGGAATAAAGCGTTCGTGGCGGAGGGGGCAGTGGGCGGGGCTCCCGCTGGGGCGCTGGGGGACTCGGGGCAGAGAGCTACGGCGCGGGGGTGCCACTCTGGCGCTGGGGGCGCGGGGGGAGTGTGTGTGTGTGTGTGTGTGTGTGTGTGTGTGTGTGTGTGTGTGTGTGTGTGTGTGTGTGCGACGCGGAATAAAGCGTTCGTGGCGGAGGAAGCAGTGGGCGGGGCTCCCGCTGTGGCGCTGGGGGGCTCGGGGCAGAGAGCCACGGCGCGGGGGTCCCACTCTGGCGCTGGGGGCGCGGGGGTGGTGGTGGTGTGCGACGCGGAATAAAATGGTCGGAGCTCTAGACACCCTGTGCAAGATAATAGCAGGAAGAGGGATGATCATGTTCTGACATCGTACGCTCACGGGAGTGAGCAAAACTTTGCAGTCCTGGACCCACATGCCGATGCCACGATTTGCCTCCTGTGGACCCCCGAGCAACCGAGTGTGAACGAGACCTGGACGCGGCTTGCATTGCCTTCCTCACGCGGTGCCGCAAGGGAGGGGCTGGCAAACGCATGTTTGCCCGCCACCCCTCCGCGGTGCCCAACAAGGCCTTACATTTTGCGAGTCGGCGAACATCTCCCGTGACCACCAGACGGGGCTGGCAAACATGATTTTGCCAGCCCGCCTTCCTTGGCACCAGCGGAGCGCTGCGGGTTCCGACGCTGGCGAATCCAGCGCCGAACCTGGCCCAATCGCGCAATAAACGACGATACATCTCGACGGCGCTTGCGAATTTGATGTGGCGCCGTCTGCCCTGGTATGTACACTCCTGCTCCCTGCGCTCGTCGCCCAAGCCGCGCGGCCTTTCACTGATGTGTGAAGTCCGATGTTTTTTTCCGTTGCCGTGTCACGATGTGTCGTTTTCGCTGCTGTGCCAGGCCGTGCTGTTCCTCACTGTCGTGTCAGGCCGCGTGGTGAGTCAGAGTCAAACCAAAAAGACTCTCCGACACCTCCTCCTCCACCCCCCTCTCCCGCCCGTTTCCTTGAACTTCCCCAAATCCTCCTCTGCCCCCCTCTTCTCTGGTACCCCCCCCATCCTTCCTCATATAATTTCTTGTCGCCTTGCACGCTCCACCGATCTTCCCTCATAGCGATGTTTCTTTTGCGTTGAATGGGTACAAATGAGAGGCAGGCCTCTTCGCGCCAACCTGGCGATGCCACCGCAATCCTCAATATGGCGACGACTTGGTGCCAATCCTAGCGTCCCTTATCCGCCACCATGAATTGTGTAACTATGGTTAGAGGGACCCACAGCAGCACATATACATCTAGGCAACGCACATGCTGAATGTGTGGCTGGGCCCCTCGACCTCCCCACGATCACTAGAGCAGAAAATGAAGTCGTCTCAAGTCTGCATATTGAAATTCTCACACACACACACACACACGCACGCGTACACACACACACACTTCACACACACACACACGCACTTCACACATATATACGCACTTCACACACACACGCACACTTCACATATACACAATACACACACGCACTTCACACACACACACACGCACTTCACACACACACACGCACTTCACATACACACACACACACACACACGCACGCATGCCCGCACGCACGCACGCACCCATGCACCCACGCAGCCACGCAGCCACGCAGCCACGCAGCCACGCAGCCACGCACGCCCGCACGCCCGCACGCCCGCACGCCCGCACGCCCGCACGCCCGCACGCCCGCACGCCCGCACGCCCGCACGCCCGCACGCCCACACGCCCACACGCCCACACGCCCACACACACACACACACACCCACACCCCACAGCCCACAGCCCACAGCCCACAGCCCACAACCCACAGCCCGCACGCCCACACCTACACCCACACCCACACAGACCCCACACAGACGCACAGACACACAGACACACAGACACACGCACAGACAGACACACAGACACACAGACACACAGACACACGCACAGACAGACACACAGACACACAAACACACAGACACACAGACACACACACACATATACAGACACACAGACACACAGACACACAGACACACTGACACACAGACAGACACACAGACACACAGACACACACATTTACAGACACACAGACACACAGACACACACAGACACACACAGACACACACAGACGCACAGACACACAGACATACAGACACACAGACACACAGACAGACAGACACACGCACACAAGCACACACGCACACACGCACACATGCGCAAACGCACACACGTTCATACGCACACACGCACACACGCACACACGCACACACGCACGCACGCACGCACGCCCGCACGCCCGCCCGCCCGCACGCAAGCACGCACGCACGCACTCACGCACCCACGTACACACAACACACACACACACACCACACACACACACACCACACCCACCACACACAAAACACACACAAACAAACACACATACACACATACGCGCGCGTGCACAGCTGCAGCAAGCACGCTCGCGCGCTCCACACACATACACACGCGCGTGCATAGCTGCAAGCACACTTGCGCGCGCCACACACACACACACGCGCACACGCGCGCGCATAGCTGCAAGCACGCACGAGCGCGCCACACATAGAACTGTTTGTGGTAACAAACAATGTGCATGCCAGACCATCTGGGGTCGGCGGCAGAGGCGGCAGCCTTTAGATCCGGCCGCTCCCGCCCTGCGGTGTGGGCCGTGCGAGGCCACTCTGTCAGCGTGCCTGGCAGGATTCGCCAGGGTCTGGTCAAAACCTCCAGAATCGAGGACGCCGGCGGCGCATCACCGGCCGCTCCCTGGGAGTTTGCCGAAGCGGTGCGCAGCATCGAAAGTCGTGACGCGGCGCGTGTGCCAGCTATCGCCGCCTTCCCTTCTCTTTCGGTCGCTGGGTGCCCGTCTGGCGTCCGCAACGGCTCTCTCGCTTTCCTCTTCGCCTCGCTTCCGTGTGTCTCGGCCGGAGTTTGGCGCCGTCAGGGCGACTTCCCCGCGCTGCTACAGTTCACATGGCTTGCCGTACAGCTGTTGCCGTCGCTCGCTGCGTCGTGTGGTGCGACTTCTCCACGCTGGACGCAGTTACCGCGGCAAGTCGCGGCGTGGCGTCTCCACCCGTCGGGACGTCGACATCGGTTTGCTGTGCTATTTAGGGTCATCTGTCCCTTGCATCACCTCTAATGAGGGTCATTTTGTCCCTCGCACGTGCACTCGCCTTTGCGGCTT